CTGGTTGCGCGCGCAGCTCCTCGGCCTTCTTCGTGACGCAGACGCTGCGGGGCCTGGCGAGGGACGGCAGGACAGTGATTGCGTCCATCCACCAGCCCAGCAGCGAGGTCTTCGAGCTCTTCGACATGCTCTTCCTGCTCTCCGGGGGCAAAAACGTCTACTTCGGACAGGCAGCGCAAGCATGTGAGGTAATCAATTCCTCCACGATCCAGTATCTGTCTATTGCAGTAACTTCCTTCCTGCTCCACATGTAATGGCATCAGTAATTAATCACTTCACAGTACGTAGTAGTAGTACCCCTGCTTCTTCTGCATCACATATGTTATGCGATCGCTCACCTGCACCTGTTTCCTCCCACACGCAGTTCTTCGCTGAAGTTGGTTTCCCATGCCCGCCTTTGAGAAATCCCTCGGATCATTTCCTGAGGTGCGTCAACTCCGACTTCGACAAGGTCAAGGCCACCCTGAAAGGATCAATGAAAGCAAGGGTAAGGGGGGACCTGGACACATCGATAACCCGGCAATTCATGTGTACATATAAATTGTGCCAGCATGTTTTCACCTGCAAGTGGTCTAATTTTCATATACCTTGCAGATCGAAAGGTCTGATGATCCTCTAGACAAGATAACCACATCAGAGGCCATCAGGAAACTGGTCTCTGCCTACAACAGGTCGCAGTACTACTATGCTGCCAGGGAGAAAGTTAATGACATTGCACGAATCGTACGTCCTCTCAGACCCCCTAAATGCAACATATACGTTTCTCTGCCCTTTTATTTTGTGCATCCGGACAGGCAATGACCAAATGAAATGCATGTGTTGTTTGCTGCAGAAAGGAACAGTGATGGATTCAAGGGGCAGCCAGGCCAGCTTCTTGATGCAGGCGTGTACACTTACCAGGCGTTCATTCATCAACATGTCGCGCGACTTTGGGTACTACTGGCTCAGGCTCTTGATCTATCTCCTCGTGACCGTCTGCATCGGCACAATCTACCTGGATGTCGGCACCAAATACACATCCATCCTGGTAAGTGCTGAATAATCAATCAGTGGTTATCTGGAACAAAATGCCATGAATCTGTAATAACAAGTAGACACTTAAGCAATGACATCACGTTCCTTCATGAAAAGTGTTCTTTGTGGGCAATGACATTAACTCCCTCTTTTCACAGGCCAGGGCAGCATGTGCAGCATTCGTCTTTGGATTCGTCACCTTCATGTCCATTGGAGGATTCCCTTCATTCGTGGAAGAAATGAAGGTGAAGCTCCAGACTTTTATCATTCCATACGGGAATCGGAGCTGCCATGTACAATTTGCTCACCTGCTTCTCGACTTGTTCACAGGTTTTCCAGCGGGAACGGTTGAATGGGCACTACGGTGTTGCAGCATTTGTCATTGCCAACACCATCTCTGCTCTGCCATTCCTGGTCCTGATATGCTTCATGTCAGGGACAGTATGCTACTTCATGGTGCGCCTTCATCCCGGTTTCACACACTACATCTTCTTTGTCTTGAACCTCTACGCCAGTGTCACCGTGGTTGAGAGTTTGATGATGGCCATTGCAAGTGTCATACCCAATTTCCTCATGGGCATCATCATAGGAGCTGGAATTCAGGTACATTTTGGCCCAATTTTCATTTGGTATCCTATACTCTTATCAACTCCAGTTGTGTCTTCAGATAACAAATATCCTTTGCTGCCTGTTTCTCAAAATTATGGCCTTGTTGAAGTAGCCAGTAAATGGAGATGATAGTTACAACTTAATAGCTTTGAATCTAGTGCAGTTCTCGTTACAGGTAGGGATTAAAGCACCTTGCTAAATTAAAGGAAAAACAAAAAGAAGCTTGTCGTTTGTCTTTCTTACAATCTTTAAGCGTGTAACTTGTACGGCGCAAGATGTGTTCATCAATGAGGGAACTCCAAACTTCCAAAATGTTCTCTAGAACCAGAATACATCGAAAGGCTTTGGTAAAAATGTATTACTTTTATAAACCATCAAGCTTAACAAATGAATAAGTACTGTACCGCATTGCTACTACATGCTCAAAACTGGCTACTGAATAGCAGTATAAATTCATCAGCAGGAGGATCTTCCAAAGATCTTATTATGGTCTAGGATAAAGATACTACAGGCATAGACTGTCCTATTAGTGAGCTAAGTTTTTCAACCTAGGAGCTTCACATGAAAAAATTGTCTCACGATTTTTCTTGGACAGGGAATATTCATGCTTGTCTCCGGATACTTCAGACTTCCATATGACATCCCGAAGGTTTTCTGGAGATACCCCATGCAGTACATCAGCTTCCATTACTGGGCACTACAGGTAAATTTCGTGTTGCCATAGACCACGGCAGCATGGTGGATTCCAGTATGAAATTTGACATCAAACTCTTATCCGTCTACAGGGCCAATGCCAGAATGACATGGACGGTCTCCTATTCGACAACCAATACCCGGACCAGCCGAAGATCCCTGGGGAGTTCATCCTGAAGTACATCTTCCAGATCAATGTGCACCGGTCGAAGTGGATCGACCTGTCGGTCATCTTCAGCATGATCTTCATCTACCGCCTGCTGTTCTTCATCATGATCAAGGTGAACGAGGACGTGATGCCCTGGATCCGGGGCTACATCGCGAGGAAAAGGCTTCAGAAGAAGGTGCCTGCCATCGGCAAGACGCCTTCCCTGAGAGGCTATGTTGTGGATCCGGAGCTTGGTCCTAACGAAGGCTAGAAAGATATAAGCTGGGGGTTGCTGGGTAGCACAAATAGGAGGTCTCCTACCGGTTCTTGGCGTGATATGTATCTATGGTCAGAGAAACTGGTAAATTTTTATACGTTTTGGAAGTGAAGCTCGTTTGAGTAGAGGTACATACACACATGTAATGCGTGCAGAATGGCATCGGCGATGCAGGGTGACACATAATTGGACGTTCACAGCTTATTGCTGTCTTGAGAGGGCAGCAAAATAGGCAGAAATGGCTGGGGGCACTAATTGGCACACATGGCCGCACTGTATGAGCACAGTGATTCTTCTCGCTTGCAGATTACGTACTTACTGAGACGACAGTATTCAAGTTACAATAAATATCCACAATTGCGGTTAGATAGATTGACAGGTTTACAAAACATTCCACATGGATTGACAGGCTCTCTAAACATTCCACATGGGGTCATTCAAGTTGTGTTTGTAATATCTGGCCTTCCTTTTCAAAGCTATACTACTCACTGCTGCGGACCAACAATAATTGTTAATGCGGTGCAGTGAGTGTCACCACGAACTGAAGATTTAAAGCCACCCTGTGGACGCGTGTACTGTGTACAGCGTGTACAGGAAGACTTTGGTGCTAAACAGCTACTATATGCAGAACGATTTAGGCTGGTCCCCTTATGCCAGATTCGAAGTCGGTATATACCCCGGTAAGTCGAAGTTGCATACAGGGTGAAAAACAAATGATTTTCTAACTGTCAATATGTGAAAAAAATTAGACATGTCCGTGTCGTTTACATGGATGTAAAATTTCATGGAGAATAGACGAGCTTTGTGGTCTGTGTGAAAAAAATGATGCTTAAAAAGTAAAAAACTTTACTGAGGCCCAAAACATTTCTTTTCTTCAAAAAAATTCGACGCACATAAAATGTAACAACATGTACTACATAGTTTTAAAAATGGGTTAAAAAATATTGTTGCCGAATTTACTATAGTATGTAGGCTCTAGAAAGCCACTTGGCTGCCCACCTGTGTCCCTGATCTTCACTAACAATTGTCACTTTCATCAAAATAAAATGGTTACCATCTTTGTTTCCTCTAAAATATGTACCAGATCCCTTTTTGAGCATGAATACATCAGAGGGAATCATAATAGAATATATTTTTGCATTTCCAAACAGTCAAAGGGGGTTAGTACTAATACTCCATAGACGATAAACCTGATTGGAAGTGTTGGTCAGATGGTCATTATGTTGTAGTGGCATCTAGTAGTATGTTTACTGTGTTTTCTCTGAATGAGACCATCTTTTTTCTTTACGGAACTGACTGAGTTCATCTAGAACAGGTGTTGTAACTTCTAAAGTTTATTCATCCTTAGAATGTATGAGCGGACCTTCTTCCACCCAATAAAGAAACAAATGGCATGGTGATAGAAGCAACGAGAGGAGTAAATAAGCAACAGAGTAGATGTCATGTGCGATGCAGGGACCGTTGTGGGTGAGACATGCATGTGCTCATAAGAAAATCTGCCAGCAGGATATAAACATTGGAGAAACTGGTGGTTTCATTTAAGATGGATCTGGAGGTTTGAAGAAGCGTAGTTGGTCCAAATAGATCCCATGGAATGAAAACCCAAATTCACACATCTTGATTAAGAGTATACCAGAAGTTTGAAAATTTGAATCCATATATAAAGCATTGCCTAATTTCAGGGCCAGCTGGGTTTTCTTGGGCGTTATGCAGTACTAGCTGGCTGTGTCCTAATTTTACCCGTAGCAATAGCCAAATTTAGTAAGAATTTGGTAAGAAATTTTTATCAAAAAATAAAATAAATAAATTTAGTAAGAATTGCTTTGCAAGCTTCTATCATAAGAGTCACATTCTTAGCAGTTGTGAGCCTTGATAGGGATTAATCCTTCAGAGCAGAACAGAATAGAACTACGAAGTAGGAGTACTGATGTGGACAGAAGGCATTAAATAATTTATACTGAAGTGGAAAAGGGGTGCATGCAACTGCAAGTGATAATCCGGAACAAAGAAACTAGCACAACAAGTATTTTCAGGGTTGATATCGAGGTGCCCACACCAGAATGTCACCAACGCAAACATTCACAGTTTGCACCCAGTATTTTCCATATGAACAAGCAGATCATTGCAAGACATGAAGTTAATATATATCAAAGCCACAAACAAGTCATAAAATTAAAGGTACATCAGCTAGATAATGCTACCAAACCTAATCTACTGATACTAAAAGCAAGCAAGTACCATGCTGTGATATAGTTTACTTTAGCTGGTGCCAGGGTCAAGGACTGGAAGCCTACAGTAAAAGCTGATGGATTTATCTGTCAACCGTGTTCCTGGAATGAAGTACTGGAATATCACTGTCAGGCAAGCACCATTAGGAGCAATACCTACACAAAAAATCAAGGTAATAGTTAATACGAATTTATATTATTTTTCAACAGGTTTTCCTTTTGCGAAAGATTTTTCAACAGGTTTACAGAAACGGCTGAAAAACAAACCATAGAAGGTACAATCTGGCTTGGCCAAATGACATTGTAGGCTCTTAACTAGGTGCTTCATGCTCACTTGCTGCGAGAAAATAGAATAACAAGCACCTGTGAACATCTGACATGAAAATAATAGAACGATTATTTAATAAATGAAGCTTAGGAGCAATACCACTGACAGTGCTTCCCCTCTCTCAACCGCCATTTCCATACGAATGGTAGCACTCACATTTTGATCAACGACAGGTGCATTTGCTGAAATAGAGAACATCGATATAAAAATGTGAAGTGCGTTGGACACTAATGACACCTACTCCCTCCGTCCCATAATGCAAGGAGATCCAATAAGCCCCTATCTTTTCCTCTTTGTTGCTGATGGTTTAGTCAGTCTCATGAAGAAGGAAACAAATGACGGCAACCTGACACCTATTAAGATTGCGAGGAACAGCCCAGGAATCTCAAATCTTCTTTTCGCAGATGATAGCCTAATTTTCTTTAAGGCAAATGTTGTACAGGCACAGGTTATGAAGAAGGTGTTGGCGTCTTTCCAGCGAGGTACGGGGCAATTGCTGAGCGAAAATAAATGCTCTTTACTTTTCAGCGAGTGGTGCCCGGAAGAGTCTAGGGAAGAGATAAAGAGAGTTCTGGGAGTGGTTTCCTCCTCCTTTGAGAGCAAGTATCTGGGTTTTCCAACTCCAGAAGGGAGGATGAAGGACGAGAAATTCCAACCGATCTTGGATAGATTCAGTAAGAGGTGTAGTGATTGGTCAGGAAGATTTATGGCATACGCAGCAAAGGAAGTACACGTCAAATCCGTGGTCCAGGCTCTCCCCTGCTTTACTATGGGGGTCTTCCTACTCTCAAAAGGCTTTTGCGAGAAATATGAGAAGATGATTCGTGATTTCTGGTGGGGGGATGAAGAAGGGCATAGGAAGGTACATTGGATGTCGTGGGAACGCATGACACGACCGAAAAGGGCAGGTGGTATTGGCTTTAGGGATATGCACCTGTTCAACATTGCACTGCTTGCAAAGCAAGGGTGGAGGCTACTACAAAATCCGGACAGTTTGTGTGCGAGAGTGCTCAAGTCAAAATACTATCCACACGGAAATCTCCTTGATACGGTTTTTGCCTCAGACGCGTCCCCGGTATGGAGAGGAATTGAGGTTGGGTTGGAGCTCCTAAAGAAAGGCATCATCTGGCGGGTGGGGGATGGAAGAAGCATTCAAATCCAAAGAGACCAGTGGATCCCTCGGAAGGAAGGACTAAGGACTGCATCTTTTGTTAGGAGGTCAAGACTGCGGTGGGTGAACCAGCTCATGCAACCAGAGTAGAGAGTGGAATGTGGAGCTTATAAGGCAAATTTTCCACCCCTTTGATGCAGATGAAATATGCAAATTATCCATTCCAAGGTCTGATGCAGAAGATTGTATTGCTTGGCACTACGAAAGAAACGGGGTTTTCTCAGTAAGAAGTGCATATAAACTGGCCGCTGCAACACATGGGCAGACCCGACAGTCCCCATCTAGCTCGTCAAATGATCCTGACGATAGGAGCATCTGGGACCTCATTTGGAAGTCGAATGTTCCACCAAAAGTGAAAAAATTTGGCTGGCGAGTTGCCACCAACACGCTAGCCACGAAGAAGAACAAGTGGAGGAGGACCTTAGAGCTGGATGCCACCTGCAACATCTGTGGTTGTGGCGAGGAAGACGAATTCCATGCGGTGGTATCATGTACTAAAAGTCGTGCTCTCAGACACGAAATGAGGAAAGAATGGGAACTCCCGCCCGAGAACTCTTTCCAGTACACGGGCCCGGACTGGCTGCAACTGCTATTAGCGACAACATCAGTGGATGTGAGGGCGAGGGTGTTGATGCTTCTTTGGAGGGGATGGCATCTGCGTGGTGATTGTGTTCATGGAAAAGGCAAGGAATCAATTGGCCATTCTGTCCAATTTCTCCTGAAGTACGAGGATGAAATACAGTTGGCAAGAACCAGTACATACCCCTCTTCGGAGGCTGGCAAAGAGAGGTGGCCCTGTGCCAACACTGAAGTGCAGAGTGATGATCAGAAATTAATGAAATGGACTGTTCCAGATCAAGGTGCAGTAAAATTAAACTCTGACGCAACTTATCTGCCAGACAGTGGCCTATGCTGGGCGGGAGCAGCTGCGAGGGACTGTCGAGGCCTGGTGCTCATATCAGTTGGAAAACAGATTGGCAGCGCGGCAAGTGTGGAGGAAGCAGAGGCTAGAGCAGCTTTGGTTGGGATGCAGGCCCTGGCAGGAATATACAGTGGGCCAATGGTGCTAGAGGTGGATTGCATGGCGTTAGTTAATGAACTTAAAAAGGGCTCCCTGAATCTATCTCCTTGTTTTGGTGTGCTACGGGATATCATGGAGGTCTCCGAGAGTTTTACTTCCTTCAAGGTCACTCACGTTGGAAGGAAGTGCAACACACTGGCCCATGAATTAGCAGCAGAGGCAAGACAGAAGGGTGATCTGCAGCTCCTTGCTAGAGTTCCAGACAGACTGACGCCTTTGATGCAGGCTGAGTGTTTTCCCCCCACTTGAGTATTTGGTGTACTCGAGTTTCTCAAAAAAAAAAAAAAAACGTCCTATATTATGGGACGGAGGGGAGTACTTCGGAATTTAAGGAAGCTAATGCTGAATGCTGATTACAGCTCCCAGCAGCCATAATTTACCACGAGCACCAAGAATCCGAAGCCTTTTGAATTCTGAACCAAGAGTAACAAGAGAAGTTGAAACTTGCAGATGGAGATCACCATATTGGGTAACAGTTACAGACAGAAGATCACCAATGTTTTTTAGACGATCCACCAAATTCTGTAACTGTTGTAGATCTGGAACCTGGACCAGAGTCTGCAGAAAGATAAATTTCTACTAATAAGCAGCTGACAGTAGAAAGATAACACCAACCCAGTATGAAAATCTACAACGTCCGCTAATAGCTAACAACAGTAAAATAAATTTCTTCTAACAATCATCCAAGTTGAAGATATCTTCAAGATCACAAGCAGCACAGACCTCTGGGTAGGTACAGATATTTCGCAAAGAAAAATACTTAGCATTGAAGAGAACAGTAGAACTGTAGGAACTAATAAGAACTAGTATTCGATAAGCGTCGTTGCTATTTTTACATTTTATACTTCTGTAACCATTTGTTGACTAATGTTACTATGAATCACATCTTTTCCAGTTTCTTGCTCGCAGATAGATAATTTTAGTAAATTTCCAAAGGTATAACAATGCAAGATAGGAATATCCACATCAATTAAAATGGACTAGACGTCTAGATCAGTGCTTCAAATAATGGGACACAATCAAACTTTACTGTCTATTAACTAACATCTTTGCTATCAGTAAATTATGTGAATAAGTCATTCCCATATTCATATTTTATATATTTCTACATTTCATATTTTAATTAATTGTTGACTATTGTTAAATGGTATATTGTGCGGTATGCCGGTATCTTGCTGGAACATGGATATCTTGAGGATTTTTGTTACAACAAATTAAGAGTGGTTCTGTGCATCAGATTTACATTGATTAGACCTCTAAACAGTGCTTCAAATAATGAGACGCGAATACATGATCAAACTTCAGCATGTTAAAGATAAATTATCTTTGCTACTGGCAAATTACGTGAATATCAAGTTCAGGGGCTCAACAAACAAAATGCTGTTTGGAGGATGGATCCAGGTCATTACATTTTATGGCTCAGCCTGTATGAAACTGTGAATTGGTACCTAATTTTGTTTCTGCACTCCAGCATCACAACTAGGCCATCAGAAGTTGCATGGCCACTACCTGCTTCAATTTAACTAGTTCTTTTCGCATTTGGACAGCTAGAGTAGATTATGTTGTGAAAGCATTCAATCAGATAAACAAATAGGATAATTTTTTACTGATGAATGATAAGAAACTGGAAAATGCCATGTGAGAACTCCCCACCTCAGGAAGCTCTTGGGCGGCGTCAAGTGCGTCCTGCAAGCGCGCAACATCGGAGCGTGACAGTGGCTTCGAGATGGGCACGTCCTGCACGACGGCGGAGCGAGCGCCCTTGGTCTCGAACGTGAGGAACGGGGCAGCAGAACGGGACCCGGGGGTCTGCTTGTTGACGAGCTTGACCTGAATCGCTGCGGGGGCGTCCCCGGTAGCCGGCGACTGCGCGTGGACAGCGAGCGCGCTACGGAGGGCGCGATGGAGCAGCGCGACGTCGACGGAGAAGGCGACGCGGTTGCCGTCCCGCGACGACACGTTGTACTCGCGGAAGAGGAGGTCCTTGGCGAACTGCGCGACGCACTGCGGCCCGTCGCCTTCGGGCCCCGTGGAGCCGAGGAGGTTGTGGAGGAGCATGGCGTGCGTGGGGGTGAGGTAGACGTGGCACACGCGGCCCACCTTGTCGATGGCCGGAAGGAACCCTGCGGGAGCGGACGGCGCGCGTGAGGTGTTCGGTGAATTGCGACAGAGGGAGGGGAATTGAGGAGTGTGCTGCGCTGGGGCTTACGCTTGTCGAGCAGGGAGATGCCGTCGTCGGTGAAGGAGGCCTTGAACTTCATGGTGGCTTGCGCTCCTCGATGGACGCGGCGGCGGATTCTGGCTTCGTCTCCTCGGCTGGCGGCAAGGGGCTGGTGGTGGGGTGCGCCGCGCAGCCGTGTCTTCGACTCTTCCGGTTTTTGGCGCTCCTTTGTTTTTGTTTTTTTGAGGGGTGAATTTTTTGGCGCTCCTTTGGAGGCTTCCCGCGTAGCGTAGGCGAGGCGCCCCTATTTCTTTTTTTTTTTACAAACTCCGAAGCTTTTTATTCAACCATCATAAGGTATACATGGATAAAATCAAGTCTATTAGGCTGACCTAACCAAACATGGCGGTCATTCATTGGGCATGCATGCTTGGCGAGTTTGAGAGCCTCGACATTCGAGCCCCTATTTCAACCTTTACCGTTGTGAACAGTTCCTGCATCGCATACGCTTCTCAACCCAGTCTGGTTGAGCAAAAACAGGTCCTAATGCGCTATCTGTAAATTGTTCGGTTGCCTGCATCTGGTGTCCCTGCATTAGCTAATACGCAAGTGCACTTTGTTTGGTTGCCTACATTGGCTCTAGCGGCACATGAACATGGCGTTTGGTTGCATACGGCGTACATGTTGTGCTTACCTTGTACCCTAGTTGGTGAGCTTACCCACAATGATCACATCTAGCACACCAACGCCATAACACAACAATGGCGATGAACTGGGCGAAGGTGATGAAGTTCTTCAGCTTCAGCCCAAACTGACGATCCACCTTAGCACCTTCCACTTTGACACCTTCAACCTTGCCACTGTCAACACTGCTGCCTCTGTGCTTTCGCACCCAGTCGGAGTAACCTTGTTCTGCTGCCTGCCTAGTCTTGAACTCTCTATAGCTGTTGTTGCTATACGATGCCACTTGTGCATTGGCTTCTTCCCATGAACTATAAAACCCTGGAGCCTTATCGATGAACACGACATACCACTTGTCCTAGCAATGCACAAGAGCAAGAGTTGAAGCAGAAAATCAATGAAGCACGCGAGTAGCAAGTAAAGTAGCACACAAACAACAATGGAGCAGAAGAGAAGTAAAGCATGCATGATCATACGGCATAGCAAGTTCAACCTAGCACTACCTTGGTGTCAACCTACCACCACATCCAAAAGAGGGTGTCGTCCTACCACCGCAAGTTCATCATCAACGTGAGGGGCTAGTATATACTACCTCACCAAAATATACAGACCATCAAATTGTTTTTTAGCCCTAGCTACACAAAATGTACGTCGTCATCGTAATCGTCGTCGTCATCGCCACCGCCATCGCCGTTGGGATCATGCACGCTCATAAGCAGCACTATCTCTAGTAGTAGTGCTTGTCTAGCCAGCTCCTGAACCACAACACCCTGTGAGCGTCTGCCATGGCAACGAACCCAACACCCTGGGCCTTGTTGTCAAGCAGGTGGCTGAGAGCTGCCATGAGAGCCTCGTCGCTGAAGCCACCCTGGGTCATGACAGCGCCATACAGGTCAGGGTGGACGTCGAGGGCCTTGCACTCCTTGATGGTTGTTGCCACCTCCTTCACCGTCTCAGTCATGCTACAAAAGACATTGATCTCCTCCTCCATTAGGCCTCCTCTCTTCCTCTTCATATCATGGACGGGGTCAAATGGCTTGTCGAAGGGCTTCGCAGCTGGCTTGTCGGGGCCATCAAGGACCTCGACGTCCGGGGTCCCAGGGAAGTCTGGCATGGGAGAACCGAGAGGCTCCCCCAAGCCCATGGCATGCTTCCCTGTTGCCAACCCGAAGGAGAAGATGTGCTGCATCTGGTTGTAGTTCTGGATGGGTGTGTTGAGGAGCTCAGTGTCCCTTGGTGATCCTAAGAACGAAACACAAGTGTTGTTAGTTGCGATTAGGAGTAGGCAATGGTGGAAAGTATGAAAATGAAGAGGGTCATGAGCTAACCGCGACATGGCCAGCGTAGTGCTTTGCCTCCAGAACTATGGAGCAAGTGTTCTCATCCCATGAGGCGCCGCTAAGGTCTCTTAGCTTGGACACTTGGATCCATCGACCTCTCCATTTCCTCAGGTGGTTGTACACATGGGTGGTAGAATCCTCCTGCCCATAGAACTCGAACACTTGCTTCGCAACGGTGTTCAAATGCACCTCCTTGAAGCCCTTGTCAGTCCTAACTCCACTAGAGATGAGCTCACACATATTGTTCAGCACAAACGTGGACATGAATGGCTGCCACTTCATGTTGTTTGACCTACCATCCTTATTTGCCTTTGCTGCTGCTACCTTGAGTGCAGCGGCAGCAGCAGCACCAGCATGAGTTGGCTCAACAAGCACTACTGACACATAGAGGGAATCAGACGCGAACACCTCTGAATCAGGTGCCATCTCGGACATAAGTTGCGAGTCCTCGACAAACTATGGAGCAAACTGGCTGTTGGACAAGACAAGGGCCTGACTAAGATCTTGCGTCTGCGTGGTCATGTCCTACAATCGTAGCACACATCGACAATAAGCAGGAGCATACATGTACATGGTTCATCACTATCATAGCAAGCATATGGTTCATCACTATCATACTAAGCACATATGGTTCATCGCTATCATACTAAGCATACCGAACAATCTATGAGCACGTATATACATCTACAACAAACAACATGCTACAAATGGACCACCAATAGCTACAAAACACGGATCTAAGCACAAATCAACACAAGCACAAGGTTCAACTTCAAACTCTACTACTAATCTAGCCTACCACATGCTTGAACATCTAGCCCTACCACTAATTGCAACCGCAGCATAGCAATGAACCATATCAGCTCACATATCAGACCACTAATCAACCATGCATCTAGATCAAACCCTAGCTACAACTCAGATCTAGCTAGAAAAAACAGAGAGAAAGGTGGATTGAACTCATAGAGGCCATGGCTACAGCTCGATGGCGAGGGGGGACGGTCGTGGAAGATCAACGTCGGTCGGTGAAGGAGCGCCGACGCCGTGGACCACCGGCCGATGAAGATGCGCCGCTTACCTACTCGTCGGTGCCGACGCGCGTCAGCGGGGAGATCGAAGGGAGGGAGAATGGTGGCGGGAGTTGGGGGGTGAGAGGGGCTAAATAGGGGTGGACTCGACGGGAGGTGAGCCAAAATCCTCCCGCCGATTTTTTGGCGACGCGGGCGACCTCGTGCCATCTCCCTCCTCGCACGAGGGGAGAAGCGCGTTGCCTTCCCTTGCCTCGCCCGAGCCAGGCTCGCGAGCTACTGCCGATTCGGGTGTTTCCCCTGGGCCTGGCCTAGACGTGCTTTAAGTTCCATGTGATGCGGGCCGCACAGTGAACACAGGCTACCAAACGGGCTCAATCTCTCCCGCACGGGCCAGGCTGGGCCATATGCAGGCAACCAAACACGCCCTAAGCGAGCACATGGGGAAGCCTCACGTCGGTGGGAGCCCAGATGGGCCGGCCCATTCGCGTGCCATGGTAGGCCACGCCCAGTTTTTTTTCCTGTTTCTCATCTCATTTTTTGCATTATTTTTGTACTTTCTCCTATACTTTAAAATATATATACAAAAACACGCTTCAAAAACACATTTGAAAAATGTTGTAAAACTAGTTAAAAAATGTTGACTAATTAATAAAAATATTGAACAACTATTTAAAAAATGTTGAACAAGTATTTGAATTTTTTAAACAAGTATTTGACAAATCTTAAATAAGTACTAAAAGTAAATGAATGAGAATTTTAAAAATGTTGAACATGCATTATAAATGTTAAAACAATTATTTTAAAAAAGTTGAATAAGTATTAAAAATGTTGAACAAGTGCTTAAAAATGTTGAACATGTTTTTGAAAAATGTTGAATAACTATTTTAAAATGTTGAACAAGTATTTAAAAAATATTGAGCAAGTATTTAAACAATGTTCAAATAAGTATTAAAATATTGAACAAGTATTTGAAAAATGTTGAATAAGCGTTCGGGCAATGTTGAACATGTATACAAAAAAAATTTATCACTTATTAAAAAAATATTTTAACATATACAAAAATGTAGAGTGAAAATATGGAAAAGTCGGAGAATAAGCAAAAGAAAAACAGAACAAAGAAACATGAAAAAACAGAGAAGAAGTAGAGGAAACCCCGATCGATTAGAATTAAGTAGGTCCGACCTACTAATTTAACATGAACACGATTCTAGCCCATTGGCAAGCAACGAGTGCAATCGGAATTTCTATTGGACGCACGTCGTGTCAAAGTGTCGACCTTTGGCACAAACATGACGATGGAGCGATGACCTGGCCAGGCCGATTAAGGTGTTGCAGCGTTTTTCTGTTTTAGGAACTTTCTAGAGTTTTCCAGCTGGTTTTCTCTGGTAATGGCAACCTTCTAGAAGGTTCCCTGAACAGGTTTTCCTTTTTATTTTTGGATTTTGGTTTTTCTCTTTCTGTTTATATTTCTTCATTCTTTTTTCTTTTCTTTTCCTTTTCTGTTTCTTTTTTTCTTTTTTGGTTTCATTTTTATGCTTCAAGTTTGTTTTTCTCTCTTTAAAGAGATCATGTTTTGAAAATTGTTCAGAAAATTAAGAAAATGCTCGTGTTTTTTAAAAAGTTCAAATTTTATAAAAATGGTCGTGTTTTTAAAAAAATTGTGCATAAATTCAAAAAAGTTTGCATTTTAAAAAACATGTTCAGGAATTTTAAGAAATGTTCCCATTTTTTAGAAACTGTTTGGAATGTTTTTGTTCAAATTTATCAGAACTTTTCATGTCAGCAGGATTTCAAAAAATGTTCTTGTACTCAAAACTTGACCACAAATTCAAAATTTGTTCTTGTTTTCAAATAATTGGTCACATATTCAAAAATAGTTCGCATTTCAAATTTGTTTGAATTTTCAAATTTTATCCATATCGAAATTTGTTCTAAAAATTCTAAATATATTCACGATTTAAAAAATTTCCCATTTTAAAATTTTGCTCATAAATTCGAAAAAAAATCATGTTTACAAAAAAGTTCAGTATATTAATTGTCCCTGTTTT